TTCCTTCAGAAAATATATTTTGTGTTTTTCTTCTTGGAGGTGGGCTTTGTACCTCAGTAGCTGTAACATGATTATGGTTTTCTCTATAAAGTATCTAGCTCAGTGCTTACCACATACTAGGGTTTGACTAAATTTTTGAAGCACTACATTCTAAGTTCTTCCTAAATATGCTGGGCTGCATATCTGGCGCTTTGGCCAGGCGGGGCACGCTGTGCTCTCTGTTCCTGGAACACATAGATAGGAATGTACTGGCACTTCGGCCAGGCGGGGCACGCTGAGCTCTCTGTTCCTAGAACACATAGATAGGAAGGTGGTCACTGTACTGATGCTGTACTGTGTCGGAACAAATTGTGTAAACAAGGCTTTGTAACTAACTTTGTGGTTTTTTGCAAATAAAAATGCTGTAACTCCTGTAGTCGGCACTGCAGTTCAGCCTTTGCTTCGGCAGGGTGCTGTAACTGTAGTCGCTGGCCAGCTTAATAAAGGCTCCTAAATCTTGATCTGAGTCCCTGGTGGTCGTCTCCGTGGGTCGCCCCATTGCACTAAACTGTGTCAGACCAAATCCAATGATCAACATTGTATCGAAAAGGAAATTTCAGAAAGGGGTTAGGTTTCATGATCTGATTTAAATTAATGAAGTTAAACCACTATTTAACCAAAACCATAATGCTTCTAGATTACTATCAAAAGTGTCCTTACCAGCATTAAATGAAGTTTTGTATTATATGGTATCAGTAAACATGAAAACTATAAATTGGCCATCCTTTTTATGCCATTCTAGTTAAAATTTTGTTTCTTGTTCTTTTAAATTGGAAATAAAGTGCATATAAGGGGGGAAAAAAAAACTCAGCCAGTCCCACAGAGAGTTCTGGAGGATATACAACTCAGAGTTGTCCCACAGTGGACCCAAATGGCTGGGCCTTTGTACTTGCAATACAGTAGATGCTTAGATGTGGAAGGTTATACCTTAGAGTGGCCTGTCTCTGCAGCTAGGGCAAAGTTGAAAGAGCAGACAGCTGGAGACTACTGACAGCCCCCCAGTAGCTGGGACTAGTCATTCCATAAAGAGGACTCTGAACATCCTATTAAAGATAAAGGAACCATCCTAATAGGGTACTATATAAGCATGAAAAAAGATTGCCAAAAGATATCTGGTATTTCCACCTTATTGGCTGCAGGCTGAGTACTGAGGAAATAGTCAAGGGTTCAGATTTGGGTAGCTACAATAGAGTTAGATAAGACCAGGGAATCAAAAAAGGGCTTCTTTTCCCCGGGAGGGCCTGGAAGATACACCCTTAACTGAAAAAATAAGAATTATGCTAGCAAGGGGAGCTGTGGAGTCTTTAATAAACTCAGTGTTGGCTGTCCTTTGTAGGCCACGGTTGATGACAGAAGGGAGCACTGCTTCAGAACAGGCTGGCTGTCATCAGTGGGTAACAGGGTTCTCAAACAGCAGCAGCAATAGGTCAGCATTTAACTGGCGGAAGCAAGGTGGACGTAATTACTATGCGAGGCAGCAGAGCTGCAATGGCTAACTGGCCCTGACCCACAGAGCAATGGCTAATACAACCACCATGTTTCTAAAGATGAAATAGGTAAGACAATAAGAGTATTACTAGACCTATGTAATCAAAATATATATTCAGAAGCCTTCCCTAGAGGCAAAAGCTATTTCCTGTGAAAATATATATATATATTAATTTCATGTTTTTATTTTATCTTTTAAGTCCACCAGTAGCTGTTAAACCAATTCCTGTGATTAAATTCTGTTCAAATAACTGGTATGGTTTCTGTTTTTTGACTGGGCCCCTCAAAATATGGGATATGATACAATATTGCATTATAGTTTTTAAATGAGTTTCTTTGCCACATGCCCTAATATTCCTGATTATGAAGAAAAAACAGGGCTTCTATTACACAATGAGAATATATATCTCCCTTTTTGGGGAAAGAAAGGATACTTTTGGGTTCCCATTTCGATAGACAGAAACAAGTTATTGCTGCTGTTGGGAATGTTATGTGTATATAGGTTGTGAGTAGATATTAAAAAACTAAAGGGGGAGATCTGGTAGATACTCGGAGGCAGTGGTAGTTGGCAAGGCGCCTGCTTCTGGCCTCTGGATCACTGCTCCACTGGTACAGTTTTGAAAATAGTCCAGTACTGCCCCCCCTCCCCCCGAGTTTGAGCTCCTCCGGGCCCTTCTAAATACTATGTACCAGGTAAAGACCTAATTCCTTGTATTACATTCCTGCTTGAATTACCTGGAGCGTTTGGTGTTTACTGCATTAAATCTTGTCTGAAACTAAACCTAGGGTGATTGATTTACAGAATGGTCAGTAAACTAATACATCCTGGCACAAAAAGGAATATTGAGAAATACCAAGAGAAGGAAGCAGTTAAAGATCTGCAAGATCATGAAGGAGAGCTATCTATAGCAGGGTTAGCAAATTAATACCCCTAGACCAAATCCAACCCACTCCCAGTTTAAGTTTTATTGGAATACAGGCACACCCATTTGATTATGTGTTGACTATGGCAGCTTCACACTACAACAAAGTTGAGTAGTTGAGGCAAAGACTGTATGACCTGCAAAGCCTGAAGTGTGTACCTGCCCCCGCCCCCCCAGCCCTTTCAGAATAAGATTGACAACCCCCGGGGCAGAGAGTTATGATAGCCCCTGCCTTTTCATCATAGTTCTTATGGCTATGCCCTATTCACACACTAAGTCTATAATTTGAAGTTACTTGACTAAGTTAGTGCCTTGCAACATAAAGAGGCCAAAAGCAAGGGCTTTTGAAACCATGCATCATGAAAGCAAGAGATTACTCTTAGTAGAGAGACAGAAAGCATTGATTACCCGCACGGCTGCACTAGCCTTCCCCACAAAAACAGTGAAATCTAGCTTGGATCAGCCATGTCACATCACACTGTCAGACCAATTCCAAAGCTCCCAAGAAGTGCCCCACAATTTGGGGACCCCGTTATTAATTCATGATCCATTTAGAGAATAAGCTTCTCTATATCTGCCATCAACATTTAAACATTAAAGTGGGAAAAGACTGAACCACTTACACTGCCAATGAGAACTTCTGATCAACACTAGAGAATCAGTGTTCTCACATCTATTCCAATACAAAGCAACGAAACGTGGCATTTGAATTTATGTCAAAAAGCTGTACAAGGAAACAAGTACATTTAGCTACTTTGAAATGCTAAAAACGTGGCTCACAAATTCCACTACCTTTCCAGTCCCCCAAAAGTTCTAAAACCCTTAGTTAGGAACCAGTATCCAAAGTTCAAGGACTTCCGTCATAGACATTCCAACCAGACTTCTGATGTCACCACAAACCTCAAAAGTGGAAGGTGATCCTGACCTGATGGCCTCTTAAATTACTAGCACTTAACTTACTTAGGGCCAAGGAACAGCCATAGAATTCCCCTTTCACAAAGCACAATGCTTTTAAATTCCAAGATTCATTTTTGTACCATTCTCATCTCATTTCCAGGAGAAGCATTTTCTTTTCTAATGTCTTATCAGTTTCTCAGATATACCACTTTCTCATGTTAGTACCTATCTTACAATGTATTGCCTATTTTATGTTTGACATCATGCCTCTTTGAGTTCCCATCAGGGTTTGGAATTTTACCCTACTTGCAAGCTAATAGGCTAGCCTGTTACTGTTTCATGAATGCTGGCAAGAAACAAAGACTCCAAGGTGAAAGGACTTCGTTACTCATAGCACAGCAAGTAACATGAGCATGTTGGTGCCAGGTCCCCATACCTCCCTAAGTCCCATGGGAAAGATGTGGCAGGGCCTAGATCAGTGATGGCGAACCTTTTGAGCTCGGCGTGTCAGCATTTTGAAAAACCCTAACTTAACTCTGGTGCCGTGTCACATATAGAAATTTTTTGATATTTGCAACCATAGTAAAACAAAGATTTATATTTTTGATATTTATGTTATATATTTAAATGCCATTTAACAAAGAAAAATCAACCAAAAAAATGAGTTCGCGTGTCACCTCTGACACGCGTGTCATAGGTTCGCCATCACTGGCCTAGATAGATGTTACAGGCAGTGGGTTTGCATGCAACAAAGGAACACTTAACTTGCAGCACCCACCATTTTATAGCAAGCAGTAAATAAACCTGCCCTTTTACCTAGAGGGAGACATTACGTCATCCTTCAGAGTTGCTCAATGAAAACAACCCTGAGAATTGGCCCAGCTCAAGAATGATCAGAGCCTTGCCCTCTTAGTATACCCGAAGAGTACATGTTCCTACAGGCGTGCCTCTCAGGCTCATCGCATATCGCTTCTCCCAACATTGTGTTTCCCGTCAATCTGTCTGGCATATATAATTCAAAGTCTAGGTAGGAAATTCATTTCTAATGCAACAAGCTAGACAGAGATAACTGAAGCATGTCTTGGTTGATACTTGCAACATCAGGGTTTTTGGCATTTTAGTGCTGAGGTCTTAGGTAACCAGAGATGCATGTTGATAAGGAAATAATTGGCAGAAATAGAAGGACAATTCTAGAGTATGCTGGCTAAATTTTGTTTGGAAAATAAAGGAAGTCAGCTGGATCAGTAATAATGCAGCCTTAGACAGCATAGTTTGCCCCACCCCCTCCCAACACACACACACACACACACACACACACACACACACACACACACACCAATGTCCCTTGCCCCTTCCTCCTATCAGCTAGAAGGGAAAGATGAGATACATGTAGCATCAAAAGATCTCCTTTTGGAGATAAATAATTTAAAATTCCCTTCCTTCATATTTTCTGCCCTGGGATCTTTGTTTAATAGTAAATAATCAATACCAATCACACAGCATTCACTGAAATTTGACACAACTGAAGACGTAGATTAATTCCTGCAGCCAGTTTTGAGTGTCATTATATATCAAGGAAATTCTTTGGGGGAAAAATAAAATGATTTTCCAAGTAACCTTTCTTTATTTAATTTGTGACTTTAAGGAGCCAACATGAACGGTGCGATCTGGGATCTCCACCGCTGCGGAAAAGCAAAAGAGAAAGCTCCAGGAATACCTAGCAGCCAAGGGAAAACTGAAGTGCCAAAACAGCAAGCCTTATCTAAAAGCCAAGAAATGCCCAAATCCTCCATCTTCTAAATCTAATATTAGACCCCAAAAGGATGTTGCCAACCATGTTGCTTTGCCTGTTAAAGCTATAAGACCTATCAGCATTAAACATCAGCCCAGCCCTGCCATTAAGGGTCCCAGCTGCCAAAGTTCGAGCCACCAAAACTTTTGGGCAAAAGGCTGACTTCAGGATGTGTTTCTTCTCTCCCAAACTGTCAGCCTTCCAGCAACCGTCAGCAACAGCACAAAGCTGGATCATCCTCTGGAGAGCTGTCGAGGAAAACTGGGGGTGACAGGTCAAGGAAATACTGCACAGACTCTGTGGACATGTCCATGGTGAGGGTGAGTCCTTACACTACTTTCTAAAAGAGGTGAACAAAGAACTTGTCCCAAACTGTACTGGACTCTGAGAAGTCACCACATCCTCAATTATGGACCAAAAATGAACCAAAGACTAGTTCTTATAATCCAACCAAGAGCAGTTTGGCCCCTGAACAAGCCTTGGGTAAAAGTTCATTGAATCGTGCTCTTCTGAAAAAGACAGAACTAATAAACAATTTGTTAGAGAAACACAAACCAGGATTCCACCAGGAAAGTCATGGCAGCTCCCTAAAGGAGCAGCTCTTGCAAAACTAGGAGGAAAACCCCCAAAGATAGTTCCCCCCCTCTCTCTGTTCTGAATTGCTGTAGCTTTAGTTTATCTATAAGAGTGATCATTTTCACCCAGCCTGCATGACTCAGTGGTTGAGCGTTGACCTATGAACCAGGAGGTCACGGTTTGATTCCTGGTCAGGGCATATTCCCGGGTTGCGGGCTCAATCCCCAGTAGGGGGCACGTAGGAGGCAGCTGATCAATGAGTCTCTCTCATCATTGATGTTTCTATCTCTCCCTCTCCCTTCCTCTCTGAAATCAATAAGAATATTTTTAAAGTGATAATTTTCTTAGTCAACATAAGTTTTATAAATTCTAAAATCAGTTGCTGTGTTTTTTTATTTGGATCATTGACTTAACAAGGGCATATAATTATTTTAACTTATATCATACTATTACAACAAGCAGTTTAAGACTTTGAGATGTTTAAGCAAATGCCCAAACAAGTCCTTAACTTCAGACATGAGATTGAGCTTGGTTTGACAATAAGAACACCCGATTAACTCTGAAGGGCTAGATTTGGACAGATACAGCTAAGATTTACTTGTGTAGAAATATTTGGCCCAGTGGGCTAAACTCTTCTTGTGACAGTGTAGAGATTTTTCTGCAGATGTGGGGTATAGCCAGCAGGCTAGATATTTGTTTTGTCAATGAGATACCCAGGACAATATTACACATTATCAACTATTAAAAAAATCCACCATGGAAAAGATACTAACCCCCTGATCTCACATTCCACTTTTAGAGAACCCAAAGTGAGACAGGTAGCTCTATATGTAACTGATGGGAAAATATCTCCAAGATATATTAGAAAGAATTGTAAGTTATTTTGAAAGTGTTATGGCATAAAATAATATTTGTACTATCATTTTACTTTGTGGAAAATTAAGCATATGTGTAGAAAGTCTGGAGGTAACAAAAATGCTTTCTTTTTAGAAAGAGGAATCACAATTTCTAGGGTAAAGGACAGAGAAGAGACCAATTTTTTTTTCAGTGAGTGATACATGTAAATAACACAAAATTCAAAAGATATGAAATGTATACAGTAAAAATTAGGAGTTCAAGTCAAGCTGGTAAAGAAAAAAAATGAGGGAACAGACTGAGGTCTAATATTTCCAATATTCAAAAATTTTACAAACAAAACACTTAAAGGTAAAATGTACAAGACAGGCATAGGTAATTTACAGAAAAATAAGTAGCCATTGCTTACTGAAATTCACAAGTAAGCAAAGAAATATGCCCTCTCGGACTTTCTCATTGCAAAATCCTAGAACAAAACATGGTACTCGCCTTCTCCCACAACCACATCAAAATTACAGAACAACCATCATTCAGAACCAACTGAAATATGGCTGAATGAAAGTCCTACAACTAGGGAATTAAAATGCCACACCAAGACTAGTAGGAGGGGCAGAGACTCAGAAGGGACTGGTCCCACACCCACGTGTAGCAAGTAAAAATTTGAAGCAATATCTCAGCTGTAAAGGTTACCCCTGTGGAGTGAGGGGTCCCACCCCACACCAGGCCCTTCAGCCCATGGTTCCAGTACCAAGAAGAAAAAAGACCCTATAAGTTCTGGATATAAAAACCAGTGGGGATTGAGGCTGAGGAAGACAGAGGACTGCTGGAATCCCAGGCAGTTCCTCTTAAAGGGCCCTCACACAGACTTACTCAGACTCACTCCTTCTGAGCTGCAGTGCTGGACCCCACCTCACCCAACTTTTGGATCTACCCAAGCTGTTTCCAGTGTTTGTTTGTTTTTTTCATACAAATGGCCTCTCTTGGCTCATTCTTCAGATTTTCCTAAAATCTCTCAGACAAGCAGCATCTGGACTCTGTGCCCCATACCTCTTGCTAAGTGACCCCAGGCCTGGCACTAGCAGCAGTTGGCCTTGGTTCACAGCCTGGTTTCACCTGGACACCTCCAAGTCAAGAACAAGTAGCAGCCATCTGCAGATCACTCTGTAGCTCATGCCAGGCAGCCCAGGGCAGAACACAGGTTGTGGCTGACCTTGGCCTGCACCTTTCAGGAGGACCCAGAGCCAGCATACATAGTGGATAGCTTCAGAGCACATCGAAGCACCACCCAACCATCTCCACAAGCAACATACTCAAGAGCCAGACTCAGTGGGCACCAGAGCCCCACAGTGGGTGGGCCTATACATAGCTGATCCTCCTCAGTGTTCAAAGCCAGTCTTTGCAGTTGACCGGCCTGGGAAAAATCCCTCCCATTGACATGCCAACAGCAATCAAGGCTCAACTATGAAAGGAGGGTGTATACAGCCCACATGGAGGGGGGCACCTTGAGTGCCCAGCTTGGGTGATTGGGGAGGTTGTGCCACTGGACCCTACAGAACACCTATTACATTAGGCCACTCTACCAAGCCTGGGAGATGTAGCAGCTCTACCTAGTACATAGAAACAAACACAGTGAGAGTGCCAAAATGAGACAAAGAAAAATATCCCAAATGAAAGAGCAAAATAAAACTAAAAAAAAAAGAACTTAAAAAATGGAGAGAAGCAATCTACTAGATGCAGAGTTCAAACACTAGTTATAAGGATACTCAATGAACTTAATGAGAACTTCAACAGCATAAAAAAGGACCAGTCAACAGCATAAAAAAGGACCAGTCAGAAATGAAGAATCACTAACTTCAACAGCATAAAAAAGGACCAGTCAACAGCATAAAAAAGGACCAGTCAACAGCATAAAAAAGGACCAGTCAACAGCATAAAAAAGGACCAGTCAACAGCATAAAAAAGGACCAGTCAACAGCATAAAAAAGGACCAGTCAACAGCATAAAAAAGGACCAGTCAACAGCATAAAAAAGGACCAGTCAACAGCATAAAAAAGGACCAGTCAACAGCATAAAAAAGGACCAGTCAACAGCATAAAAAAGGACCAGTCAACAGCATAAAAAAGGACCAGTCAACAGCATAAAAAAGGACCAGTCAACAGCATAAAAAAGGACCAGTCAACAGCATAAAAAAGGACCAGTCAACAGCATAAAAAAGGACCAGTCAACAGCATAAAAAAGGACCAGTCAACAGCATAAAAAAGGACCAGTCAACAGCATAAAAAAGGACCAGTCAACAGCATAAAAAAGGACCAGTCAACAGCATAAAAAAGGACCAGTCAACAGCATAAAAAAGGACCAGTCAACAGCATAAAAAAGGACCAGTCAACAGCATAAAAAAGGACCAGTCAACAGCATAAAAAAGGACCAGTCAACAGCATAAAAAAGGACCAGTCAACAGCATAAAAAAGGACCAGTCAACAGCATAAAAAAGGACCAGTCAACAGCATAAAAAAGGACCAGTCAACAGCATAAAAAAGGACCAGTCAACAGCATAAAAAAGGACCAGTCAACAGCATAAAAAAGGACCAGTCAACAGCATAAAAAAGGACCAGTCAACAGCATAAAAAAGGACCAGTCAGAAATGAAGAATCACTAACTGAAATGAAGAATAATTTACAGGAAGAATAATTTACAGTAGAGTAGATAAAGCTGAGAATCAAAACAATGATTTGGAATATAAGGAAGCAAAAAACACCCAATCAGAACAGTAAAAAGAAAAAAACAAGCCGAAAAAATGAGGATAGTGTAAGGAATCTCTGGGACAAGTTCAAGCATACCAACATTATGGGGGTACCAAAAGGAGAAGAGAGAGAGCAAGGGATCAAGAAACTATTTGAAGAAATAATGACAAAGCTTCCCTAACTTGGTAAAGAAAAAAAAATAGACATTCAGGTCCTGGAAGTACAAAGAGTCCAAAACAAGATGAACCCAAAGTGGCCCACACCAAGACATGTCATAATTAAAATTCCAAAAGTTAAAGACAAAGAGAATCTTAAAAGCAAGAAGAGAAAAGCAGTTAGTTGCCTACAAGGGAGCTTCCATAAGACTGTCAGCTGATTTCTCAATAGAAACTTTGCTAGCCAGAAGGGAGCAGCAAGAAATATTCAAAGTGATGAAAAGCAAGGACCTACAACAACCAAGACTCTACCCAGCAAAGCTATCATTTAGAATTGAAGGTCAGATAAAGACCTTTACAGACAAGAAAAAGCTAAAGGAGTTCATCATCACTAAACTGGTATTCAATGAAATGTTAAAGGGTCTTCTTTAAGAATAAAAATAAAAAATATGAATAAAATGGTAATAAATACAAACCTATCAACAACTGAATTTAAAAATCAAAACAAATCAAGAAGCAGGACATAAACAGACTCATAGATACAGAGAATATTTTAACAGTTGCCAGATGGGAGGGCTCTTGGGGGATAGGTGAAAAAGGTGAAGGGATTAAGGAGTACAAATTGGTTGTTACAGAATAATCATGGGGATAAAATGAGATTTATTGAGATGATCACTTAGTTACATGTCTGATCACGGGTGTTCACCTAAATTGAATATAATGCATGTAAACTATAACTGAAAAATTAAAAAATTATTAATTCCTGTTTCTAATGTGGTTTTATAATGGTAATTAGCATAATAGGGTGGAAAATATATCTAAATTTTTACTCTGCCACTCTAATTCCTTAGAATAATTTCCCAGAAGTGAACAAGTACAAGGCATTCAAAATTTGCACAATACTATACCAATCACTACCCTGATAGGGAATCAAATAAGGTCCTAAATTCTAGAGACCCTCCTCCCAGAAAATGACAGGATCCAATCTCATTAAAGAATTGGGGCTGGGTGAAAAAAGTAAAGGGATTAAGAAAAAAACTTCATAGACAGACCACAGTATGGTGATTACCAGAGGGAAAGGGAGTGGGGAGAGGTAGAAGAGGGTAAAGGGAGGATAAATAGTGATGGAAGGAGACTTGGCTTGAGATAGTGAGCACCCAATACAATACACAAATGATGTATTATAGAATTATATCCCTGAAACCTATATAATTTTGTTAACCAATGTCACCCCAATTAAATTCCATTTTTTTAAAAAAAAAGAATTGGGGAAGGCTTCCTTGAGGAATTGAATTAAATATTAGTGAATTAACCAAAAGGAGAGAAGTTTATGACATTCAATAAAAGACCACAGAGGTACTCTCTCACCCTATACAGTCTCCATTCTCATGTGATTTCACTTTTGAGAATAGGAGTCTCTGGACATAGAGATCAGATGCCCTATCCTAGTAAACGACACCACTATTCACACAGAATCCCTGCTCACAATCCCAGGAGTCCTGTGAAATGCACACACCCAGCCATCAAATCCAGTTGATTATGCCTTTCAACATTCTTCTAACTAGTCTATCTCCTCCCTTCTCAATCCTGCCACACTGGTCCAAGCAGGACTCACAGCTCACTCCATTTTCCCTTTTTTATGAAATGCCAACAATAATTTTTAAAATGAAGTTTGAGCATATCAAATACCTTCTGTCAACCAACTGTTAGGGGCAGAAATAGAATACTGGGGGCAGCTATAATTTTAAGGAATATTAATCATGCTCTGTTAACCATGATTGTTTTGTTCTGAGTAAGAAAAGCCCATTCTAACCTGGCTGGGAGTTGCACGCAGGACCTGGGAGCTCACCTGGAAAGGCAGCCCATCCTCCCTATCCTGGAGCTGCCTATTATCATGGAAATATTAACAACCTTATTGCAGAAACCAGAGCTGCCAGCCCTTTGAAGACCCCTAGCTCTTTGCAAATTCCCAGGCCGCATTACCTCTAAACTGCCCATCTGGCATACCCTTTTGCCTACTTCCCCATGTAATCTTCACCCCAATCTTCTACCCAATATAAACAACTAGTTTATGGGGGGGGGGGCAGAACAGATTTTTGTGGATGACCTGCTGCTCTTCCGTACTGCCAGCAGTATTGGAATAAACACTCATATGTGATTCAACCCTGTCTCTGCTGAATTGGTTCAAGTAGTAACAGGCAGCCAGGACCCACTGATTGTCCGGTTACACAACTACACTTAAATTATTTTAATAGCTTCCCTATTATGTATAAGATAATGTCCAAAATCTCTAGCAAGACCAGCAAGGATATCATCTAATGCACAGCTTCCTCTCTGCTAGTTCAGCAAATGAATGTTTCAAACATGGAACTATACATTATAATATTGAATGTCATTGAGAGATGTGATCTGTCTTCATGACACAGCTCAGTCTGGTGGGGAAAGTGAACTAATAAATGAATATATGGTCACAAATAGAGCAAGTAAGTGGGGGGTAGCACAGAGGGTGGTAAGCAAGAAATGAAATAAGGCACAAAGCTGAGACAGCAGCACTTCAGCAGATATCTAAAGTATAATAAGCAGTCTCAACCTTCAGGTAAGGAAAGATGAAGATACACAGGAACTACATCTATAAATGCCCAAAATGGCCTTTTTTTTTTTTTTTTTTTTTTTTTTTTTTGCTTTTGGCCCAGTATGAATAAAATAAGTTGAGGAAGATTTGCCAAGCCCAGGGGCAAGGGCAACAGTGGTCTAGAGAAGTCTCCCCAAGGAAAAAGAAAGGTGGGGGGGGACATAAAGAAGTATCTAAAAAGCAGAGGTTCCGGGATCCGGGCTTCGGAATGATAGGAAGGGAAGCAGGTGAGAAAACAAGGCAAGCTGGTGGGAAAACCGTGAGGTGAACGTGGCCCTAGCTTGGTGTGGCAGAATCTGGAAAGAAGGCGAGGACCCTAAAGAATCGGAACGACAACTGGCAGAGAGAGAAGTTGGCTACTGTGGAATCACCAGAGGAGCCTGGAGCATTCATGGATGAAAACTACTTTGTGAACTACACTTTCAAAGATCGGTCACAGTCAAGCCGTGTGGCTCAGGGCATCATGAAACTGTGTCTGGAGGAAGAGCTGTTTGCTGACGTCACCATTTCAGTGGAAGGCCGGGAGTTTCAGCTCCACCGGCTGGTCCTCTCAGCTCAAAGCTGCTTCTTCCGGTCCATGTTCACGTCCAACCTGAAGGAGGCCCACAACCGGGTGATTGTGCTGCAGGATGTCAGTGAGTCTGTTTTCCAGCTTCTGGTTGATTATATCTACCATGGGACTGTGAAACTTAGAGCTGATGAGCTGCAGGAAATTTATGAGGTGTCAGATATGTATCAGCTAACATCTCTCTTTGAGGAATGTTCTCGGTTTTTGGCCCGCACAGTGCAGGTGGGGAACTGCCTTCAGGTGATGTGGCTGTTCACTTCCAACCTGAAGGAGGCCCACAACCGGGTGATTGTGCTGCAGGATGTCAGTGAGTCTGTTTTCCAGCTCCTGGTTGATTATCTCTACCATGGGACTGTGAAACTTGAGCAGATGAGCTGCAGGAAATTTATGAGGTGTCAGATACGTGTCAGCTGACATCTCTCTTTGAGGAATGTTCTCGGCTTTTGGCCCCCACAGTGCAGGTGGGGAACTGCCTTCAGGTGATGTGGTTGGCAGATCGCCACAGTGATCCTGAGCTCCACACTGCTGCCAAGCACTGCGCTAAGGCCCACCTAGCCCAGCTGCAGGACACAGAGGAATTTCTCCACTTGCCCCACCACCGACTCACTGATATCATCTCCGATGGAGTTCCATGTTCCCAGAACCCAACAGAGGCAATAGAAGCCTGGATCGATTTTAATAAAGAGGAAAGAGAGTCTTTTGCAGAGTCACTCAAGAGTAGCTTGAAGGAAATTGGGGAGAACGTGCACATTTTACCTGATCGAGAAAGAGTCATCTCGTACTCACTCATTGTGCTGAAGATGACTCCATCAGTGTACGTGGCCAAAACAGTTTGTGCCACCAGATCACTGCAGCCTGCAAGGATGGTGGAGACTTGTACGTGGTAGGAGGGTCCATCCCACGGCGCATGTGGAAGTGTAACAACGCCACTGTGGACTGGGAGTGGTGTGCGCCCTTACCCCGGGACCGGCTCCAGCACACCATGGTGTCTGTGCCCGGGAGAAAAGCTATATATTCACTGGGTGGCAAGACACTGCAGGATACCCTCTCCAATGCAGTAATCTATTACCAGGTAGATTATAACAACTGGATAGAGACAACACAGCTAGAGGTGGCTGTGTCAGGGGCTGCTGGAGCCAATCCCAATAGGATCATCTACTTACTGGGGAGGGGGGAATGACCTGGACTTCCTTACCAAACCTTCCCGACTCATCCAGTGCTTTGACACAGAGACAGACAAGTGCTACATGAAGCCCTATGTGCTGCCCTTTGCCGGCCGCATGCATGCCGCGGTGCATAAGGATCTGGTGTTCATCGTGGCTGAAGGGGACTCCCTGGTCTGCTACAATCCCCTGCTAGACAGCTTTACCCGGCTTTGCCTTCCTGAGGCCTGGAGCTCGACCCCACCCCTCTGGAAGATCGCCAGCTGTAATGGGAGCATTTATGTTTTTCGGGATCGATATAAAAAGGCGGATGCCAACACCTACAAGCTTGACCCTGCCACTTCAACTCTAACAGTCACCAGAGGCATTAAGGTGCTGCTTACTAATTTGCAGTTTGTGCTGGCATAAGGCAGTGGGGGAAGAGCGGCTGACTTCTGTCCTCCCCTTTTCCAGTACCTTCCCATACAAACTGGAAGTGTCCAAAATCCCAACTCAGAGGACTATGTTATCTTGTGGCACATGTTCAAAAGGCAGCACTCAGCCCTTCCCTGAATCCATAGGGGTAGCCATTGTGGGGCTTTCTAGACTGCCACTGCTCAGCTGGCTGCTTGAATGAGTGCAGGCCAGCCTGTTCTCTGCCATCCCTGGTAATCCTGTGCCTACTGCAGATTGCTCAGAGCAAGCATCTCCTTGGATCTTAGGTACAGCCTCTCCTCTTTACCTGATTGTTGAGTGTGTTTCCCCTCCACGTCCCACGTGGTTCAGGGTTCGGGGTCTGGAAGAAGAGGCGGACACAAATGAAAGAGAAAAGACACGAGATAATTTGGAAATATTGGGGGACCAGGCGGGCAAGTCCAACTCAACGAGGAGGACTTCCACTGATGCTAAGGCCTCACCAAGCTTTTATTGATCTGGGATAGCCCTTAGGTAGGGAATATCCAGTAACACACAGACTAGCCCATCAGCAGGCAATTTCCAGTAATAGGCAGACTATCTAATCAACAAGGATTTACATGAATATCTAATCAACATGGATTTACATGATTAAAGGTGGGGAGGTTGCTTCAGCTACCATTAACTGGATTAACTGGGTGGTGCACAGCTCCGACCTTTGCTAGGGCTTCAAAGGTCACCAGCTTTTGGGGGTCTCTATCTACACTTACCAGCTAGTGAAGACAATAGGTGGTCTTCCACACCTGATCAGTGTTAAATATAAGCAGCCCTGACCCCAGGACCAAAGGAAAAAATGCCAATCTTTCTCCTATAGTCTGCAAAGTTATTTGGTAATTTTTTCACAAAGAATTAGGTGTTTAAGAGTTTTTCCTTTAGGCTTTGGTGGGAGAATGGACAAAACTGAAGGTGTCCTTCACCAGCAAGAGTCAACTCTAAAATTCTGGACATAAAGAAAAAAAAAAGAAGTATCTAAGCCAGAGCAGTCTTTTCCAATTTGTTAATTATCTAGTGTATTTAGTTCACCAAGACTTAGCATAAGGCAGTGATAAATATTGGACTATCACCCAAGTGTCCAAAACCCCAATTCTAAGACACCTCTTGGTAGGAACTGGGAGGAGTGGCAACTGGGAGGCAAAAGCAAGACTTCAAATTAAGCTGTGCCCTTCACCCAGTACCCAGCAAGCAGACTCTTATCTTCTTCACAGATGGCCTCTAGGGCCCAGAAGGACATATGGCTCAAATGATCCGAAGCCTCTTGGGGCAGACAGCATCAGGGAATGGTCAAAGAGCTAGTACTTAAAGTACTTCTGTGCTTCTCCCACTCCCCTGGGACCACATCACCCTGATCTGTTGCTACTAAGTCTAGCAGTCTTTAAACAAGCAAACAACAACAACAAAAAGGTAAAAATTAAATTTGAAAATAAAACTGTCAGGCAGAATAGCTCTACTCCAGCAAAGGCGGTAAGTAGTTCTAGCAGTAAAACACGAGTTGTGAGTAGTACAAGAACCTAAGCTTCTAGAACTATCTCGTTGTAAGCACACAGATCTATAACCTTCATGTCTATAGCTCACACCTGACATGGGGGAAGGGAGTGCAGGACTTGTGGGGTGGACAGTCCACTAATCTACAACTCAAGATTAGGCCTCACTCAAAATCTTCCTGCCAGTGTGAGGCAGAGAATAAGCTTTCTTCTGGGTCACCAAGCAATCAACCATTAGTCAAATATACTTCCATTCTATTCCAAAGAACTGAAGAACTCCAGACCCAGAATTAAACAATAAGACTTCCTTGATTACATTCTGCACAGACCCCACCTGTGGTGAAGACTGGTACTTCATGCAGACACATCTACACTCATCCTCTGCAAGCTGGCTTTTCTCACCCTTTCCCTTGGAGGTGAACAGTCAAGGTGAACAGCTGCCTTGAATAATCTCTCCCTATAGGATTATCTCTCCCTGTGCCTGTAAGAAGAGCCAGCATAGCAGTGCAACAGCCTGTAGGATACCCTCACATCTATGAAGGCTGCCAATATTCTGGCTCTGTTGACTGTTTGAACACTGACTGGCATCACAGCTGATCCAGCCCCTGCTGCCACATCTAAAATGCATTTTCTCTAGATTCTCTATTATTCTTCAACCAAGTGGCATAAGAATCTACATTTGTTAACTCTCAGCCAATCTAAGACAAATGTTACCTCTTCGCAACCAAAAAAACCTTTAGCCACTGAAAAATGGGTGTACTGAGTTCACTGTGCCTTTTAGAACATTTACAAGTTCCCTAAGAGCTGGAAACTTGTAGGAGACATGAATAGTTTATCAGATGATCCTCAGAAAGTCTTTGGGGCAGTTCCCTAAGTATGCTGGGAATTTCTAACCAGGCCAGAAGTTTCTAAATGAAAATACAATTACAACTAGGAAGTGGGAATAGCTGAGACTTGAAGGCTGAAATGGTCTGAAGCCTCTTAGGGCAGACAGCATCAGGGAATGGTCTAAAACAAACAAGAATTTTAAATTTTCATCTAGTTCTTTATTTTTTTTATTATGGCTCATAAACTATTTAAAATAAGATATGTGGCTCACACTGTATCTCTATTGGACAGCAATGCCCTCATGGCAATTAGGAGGTAGCACCCATACTAAGAGAAGAACAATTCCCAAGCATCAGAAGGATGGTCACTATGAGGTGGTACAGAGATTGGCCATCTCTGGATATTAATGCTCTAGCAAGAGCTTGGCATACCTGCTACTTAGTCATTCTGGTCTGCTCCATAGAAGGCTCTCGTATACCCACTTATGCCGGAAGCCAGTCCATCCTTGCTGCTTGACACAGTTGCTGCAGGGAAGAAACATCTGCACAGCATATGTTTCAAGGGACCTGGCCTATATGGCATATGTTTGCTCCCCTTCTTGACGCTATGTGTTTTAACCAAGGTCACCTCTCTGAGAAAGGTTGTTTCCCCAGGTAGGGATTTTTCCCTGAAGTTAGGGAGGGAATAAAACCCCTTAACTAAATGCCAGGCGGGTAGTTAATCACTTTAACTACAAACAATCACCCTTAAGCTACATAATCTTTACTCCCTGGAATGGAGATAAGAAACGCCCTAAACTTTGGAATAGAAATTGACAGGATTAAAATCAACTGGTATAGGGACCTGATGGGATTGTGGTGGTTCTATCTGCCAACTCGGAAGCAGCGGCTGCCTCCAGACACTCTCAAGATGGCGACCTCTCTGGGTTCCAACACCTACAACAGGCAGAACTGGGAGGATGCGGACTTCCCCATCCTGTGCCAGACGTGTCTTGGAGAAAACCCGTATATCCGAATGACCAAAGAAAAGTACGGGAAGGAATGCAAAATCTGTGCCAGGCCATTCGCAGTGTTTCGCTGGTGCCCCGGAGTCCGCATGCGTTTCAAGAAGACTGAAGTGTGCCAAACCTGTAGTAAATTGAAGAATGTCTGTCAGACTTGCCTCTTGGATCTGGAGTATGGCCTGCCCATCCAGGTTCGTGATGCAGGGCTGTCTTTTAAGGATGACATGCCAAAATCAGATGTCAACAAAGAGTACTACACACAGAATATGGAGAGGGAGATTTCTAACTCTGATGGGACACGGCCAGTTGGCATGCTGGGGAAAGCCACATCCACCAGTGACATGCTGCTCAAACTGGCCCGGACCACACCCTACTACAAAAGGAATCGACCCCACATTTGCTCCTTCTGGGTGAAAGGAGAATGTAAGAGAGGAGACGAATGTCCATACAGACATGAGAAGCCTACAGATCCAGATGACCCCCTTGCTGATCAGAACATTAAAGACCGATATTATGGAATCAATGACCCTGTGGCAGATAAGCTTCTAAAGCGGGCTTCAACAATGCCTCGTTTGGACCCGCCAGAGGACAAGACTATCACCACACTATATGTTGGTGGTCTGGGCAATACCATTACTGAGACAGACCTAAGAAATCATTTCTACCAGTTTGGGGAGATTCGGGCGATCACGGTGGTGCAGAGACAGCAATGTGCTTTCATCCAGTTTGGCACAAGGCAGGCTGCTGAAGTGGCTGCGGAGAAGTCCTTTAATAAGCTAATTGTCAATGGCTGTCGACTTCATGTGAAATGGGGAAGGTCCCAAGCAGCCCGAGGAAAAGAAAAAGAGAAAGACGGAACCACAGACTCTGGCATCAAGCTGGAGCCTGTGCCAGGCCTGCCAGGAGCTCTTCCCCCTCCTCCTGCAGCAGAGGAAGAAGCCTCTGCCAACTACTTCGACCTGCCCCCCAGTGGCCCTCCAGCTGTGGTGAACATCGCCCTGCCGCCACCCCCTGGAATTGCCCCACCCCCAGGTTTTGGGCCACATATGTTCCACCCAATGGGACCACCTCCTCCTTTCATGAGGGCTCCAGGACCAATCCACTATCCTTCTCAGGACCCTCAGAGAATGGGAGCTCATGCTGGGAAACACAGCAGCCCCTAGCACATTATCACCATTCTGGGGCTCTACAGAAGACAGGGCGCTTAAAAATCCCAGTAAACGAATCTTGGAATAAATATATTTTTCCTTCCTTTGTAGTTTCCATAGTAGCTGAATGTGTTCAGATGTGGGCAGTCAGAAAACAATAGCCATGCTTTGATTGATGGACCTCAAATAAGCTGCCATTGACACATCTGGTTACTATAACGTTACTAATAAAACTTAATGCCTGTTCCCCTTCT